GGGGATTTCATGCTGTTATGAGAAACTTTAGTTCTTGTTTTTATATGACTGTCAGTTCCCAACATAAGTGAGGGCCTCTTCTAACACTATGCATCTTCTAAGGATCACAAAAAGACAACAATCCCATCAAAAATGGCTTTTTAGGGCTAGTTTTGCCAGGTGTTCCATCATGGGTTCCTGCAATCTCATATGGCAGAACCATTGTATAGCGAAATAGATGTGCAAACATAAACATTGCAAACTCAGCACAACACCCACATTATGAAATTTACATTATTAGGAGATGCTATAAATAAGCTTAAAGCTCGTAGATCTACACAAGCTCGGGTACCGACATGCACGCCCACACATTCTACAGTTCAATGAGTGCATCAGTACAGATACAGGGACTTCCTGTTTGCATTGAGCTTCAGTTTACATATCTTTAGAGATATTCTGTTGACCAAAATATATTCAGGGCTCTATAATAAGGATGACTCGATGATCTGAGGCCAGTTTGAGAGAGTTTGGGCTAGTTGAAGGAACTGTCACTTGGCCTGTTGAGCCACATTGTCACTACATTATACGTTTGTTGATTATGTAAATGTATTTTGTTTTTCTGTGATGTATTGAACAGTACTGTTGTAAATTCTGTTAAACTGTCTAGCATAGTTCATGTTTAGTTGAAACTGCAGGAAGGCATCAGTTAGAATGGGATGAAAATGTCATTTTTGCACTGTATGCAAATAATAGTATTATTATTTTAAAATATTATGTTACTTATAGACAGCAAATTTTATTATTTCAGTCTTAAAAACTTCATTACTATATAGTATTAATATTACATTAATAATATATTATTATGTCCAATATTAAGTTAAGACTGCTATTGTTATTTTTATTATTGATGATAATAATAATAAATTAATAAAAACTAATTATTATAGTTATTACTTTATTTGTTACTATTTTTATATTATTGTACTTAAAATAACATAAAAACTAACAACAACAATAATAAAAATAATAATAAAATGTCATTATATTATATTACTACTACTATACTACTACTACTACTACTACTACTACTACTACTACTACTACTAATAATAATTATTATTAATTAAACATTATGTACAATAATAAAAACAGTTGTGGTGAGGCCAGTAAAAATGTTGGCAGGGCTAAGGAAACCTGAACTACTGGCTCAACCGGATTATCGAGGGGTAAAAAAATCATTAGGCTACTGAAATTGATATTTTATTTCCCTGACAAATTAAGACTCATCGTGGAGCCGAATCACGCCAGAGGAAACATGAATGCTTCTGAATGAGATGACAGCACTGTTCAAGGTGTGTTCACCCCAGTCTTGGGGTATATGTACATCGCCCTCTAGAGGATGGAGGACTTCATGATGGTTTTCTTGAGCGTTTGTGAGAGTGGGCCATCTTTCCGTTGACAATTTTACAACTAACAATTACATTCTTTCTGCAACTGTATTTAAGTTGTTGAGAAATGAGTCCCATTCAACACGATTAACCTCATCTTAGTCCCAGACAGCAGTGATTTGTTGAACAAGGATCATATTTTGCCATCAGGAAAAAAAGATAAAGTGAATGCTGACTGTAAGAGAATGATCTATGTTTCCAGGTTTGGACAAGCATGAGGAACAAAAATGGATAGGGCAGTTCCTACGGGAAATGCAAACAGTCACTTGACATTTCGAAACAAATGCTAAGTGTTGCTGCTGAAGCGGCGTTCCAGGAGATGCAGACCTGGGCTGGGTACTGTCGGAGGAGAGAAGAATGAGAGAGATAGAGGTGAATCGAGAAAGAGTGAGAGAAAAAATGAGGGAGCGCCATGCGGTTGGATGGTATTCTTGGGAAAGTTTGCAGCTCTTGCAGTATCTGGAGCTCAGCTGGGGACAAATACCACATGGAATCGAGAGGAAGCCTGTAGAAGTAGAGAGGGCCTTCTGGAGGAATGTTTCACTTCAAATGGAAAATGTTTGCAGCTGTTCGCCATCGTTTAATGTTGTGTTATATATGGTATCCCTCTGATTTTGAACAAACAGACTTTTTTGTTGTCACCTGGACTTTTTAGGGCATCATGGTTTAGGTTGTTATTGTGTAGAAGGTGCATTGTGTTGAAGGTGTTCACCAGCTGGAGTGAACTTTTCCAAGTTTTTCAAGCTCCAGAAACTCCAAACAAACAATATTATGGCCTGATTATGTTTGAAATGACATCACCCCAGATCTTCAGTTCTTCGTTTTTCAAGTTCGCTTGAAGTATAATGGGGCCGTCACCAGGGGCGTAAATTTCTTCTAACAGTTGGGGGGGACAATAAACATAAAATTTCTCAAGAGCGATTTTTGAAGGGGACACAAATAATACAGCTAAAATTAAGGATATGTATACACAGAGGAAAGCCTTACTACTATTAGTGCAGCAGGGAGACCGTGCCAAATTAGACAACATCAAGCTGTTGTGGTCACGCCGAGATGGTGCTGGTGTCCGTTAAACATTATTACTATCCGTCACAGTGTTGCCAAGTCCACGGTTTTCCTGTGGAATTGGGCTACTTTATCACTGTTGCCGCGGGTTGAAGCGACCCCAGTAGCGTGTATTTCAGCCCCGGGAACGGGATCTTTACCGGGGAACCCCCTCAAATGCGGTTCGTTTGGACTAGTTTCGTCAAGCAGGTAACGTTATTATTGCTAACATAGCTACTCATCAAAAAATACATTGGCATCATTTGTATTAAAGAGAAATTCATCTTTAATAAACTTTATCTGATGTTTAAGTGAATAAAATAGCCTTGACAGCCTTACTTACTGGAGTTCCACAACTATTGACTTTGTTCTCTCTCACCGGACTCGTGTGTGTGTAGGTGATGTAAAAGAGGAAAGCAGCCATTTGGACCAAAGCACTGTGAGGCAAGGGAAGGGGAGACTCAAAATGTTTCTAAACTTAAAATGCATTTTTGCCCCATTTGTGTTGTTTTACTACTTACACAATTATTTAAAGTATAAAACATTGTTATTTACAATGCACAGACTGGTTTTAATCATATTTTTAGGGGGGGCAACCCTCAGATGGGGGGGTCCTGTCCCCCCCCGACCCCTCCGGGATTTCCGCCTATGGCCGTCACAGTACCCTTTAAGGCAAGTCAGTCACTTTGCGGGTATCTTTTAATCTTAAAAGGATAGTTCATGCAAAAATTTAAATTCTGTCATTAATTACTCGCCCTCATGTCGTTTAAAACCCGTAAGACCTTCGTTCATCTTCAGAACACAAATTAGGATATTTTTGATGAAATCTGAGAGCTTTCTGACTCTGCATAGACAGCAACGCAACTGAAACTTTCAAGACCCAGAAAGGTAGTAAGGACATCATTACAATAGTCCATGTGACATCAGTGGTTTAACCATAATTTTTTTTTTAGGCCACGAGAGTACTTTTTGTGGGCAAAGAAAACAAAAATAACTTTATTCAACAATTTCTTCTTTTCCATGTCAGTTTTCGACACGCGTTCATGTGTGTACCACGACACGTTACCATTATGTAGGGAATTTCTGTGGGCGAAATCAGTCATTTCAAAAGTAATCCCCATGATTGCCAATTTTACCTGAGGGAAAAAGATTTTCCTACACACCGATTGGTCAAATTGGTCACACTGATTCACCATGTTGACCAACAGAGACTTCTGTGTAAGCTGTAGGGTTGGGTACTGAAACCCAGTACCAATATGGCATCGGTACCCATGTAACCGGTATGTACTAGAACCGAATCAGAACGCAGATTTCGGTGCCTCATTTTGGTGCCTGCCTGAGCGATCGATTGAAATATTTGTCCTCTATTTTGACGTAAGAAGCATCATCACTGGCACCACACGTGAAAAATAATTTCCCGACTGAGAAAATGCACGTGAACTCAAGTCGGAAAGCTCTAATAATACAAATCCAACACATCTTTGTATTAACGCGAGTGTTGTTTTCACATTCCGACTTAAAAGCACAACTCTGGAAATGAGAGCATCCGAGAAACACGTGAATGCAGTAATTACACTTGCTCTGATAGCAGCAGGTAGCCTTCTGTTAACTAAGCTAAACATGCTTAAATTAAAATGCCTAAAGCTAAACTTTCCTTGTAATCACATTTCTAAACCTGTTGTCCAACAAAAGAGAACATTATAATCTTTTTACTCCACAACACCAGTCAAATGCTTCCTTTTGTGATCTGATGTGGCTTCTTGTCACAGAATGAGGCAGAAAATATGTTCCATAGGCTACTTTAAAAAGAATACATCGATTAGCAATGGATTATAAATATACTTAATTATTATGAAAATACCAGAGATGGCTTGAATAACACAGATAAACTATATTGTCGCAGTCGAGTGTTTATTGTCTTTGTTTCAAAATGTTTTTATATTCTGTTTACTCAGTTAAAGCTATAATAGCGATGCCTTTGTCCATATAAGGGATTTCCTGGAGGGTCACGAGTTCCGCTACTTCTGTGACTGAATATGTGGATTTTCTGTGCGAGGGTGCCCTCTGGCATCCAGTATGAATGAAACAGACGTCATGTGTTTATAGTGCTAATGGCCAATCCATCATTTTTTGGGGAATTTTTATTTATTTATTTATTTTGTATTTTTTAATAAGTATCGGTTCAGGCACCGGAACCATTTTAAAATTATCGATTTGGCACCGGAATCGAAAAAACCCAAACGATACCCAACCCTAGTAAGCTGTGCTTCATGCAACGCTATTAATGGACAATTAACCTTTTTCGCCTGTGAAATTTCGCAGAAATTTTGCTAAGGTGCCTGCACCTTGAGTCTTCTACTTGTAGGGTGTGTTGGCCTTCTTTCTGCCCCATCAGCACCTGACCCGACCCCTGGCAAGCTCCAGGTATGAATTCCTTAAGAAGACGCTACCTGCTTTCACCCAGATGCCAACCTTAGAGCTTGGCTGGGCAAACCTGGCATGGCCATAATGTCATTGTACTCCAGCCACTTATTGTGAAGTTCACCTCAAGTCCATCTATTTTCATCGTTCAGTGGCTCCTCTGTTCTCTGTGGTTTATAATAGCCCCGCAGTTTGGATGACAGCAAGGTGTGGAAACAGTTATTGGAAACAGTTTTCCAGCGGGCGCCTTCGCCTATGCCTGCTCTGAGAAGCCTCGCGCAGAAAAGACCGGCCTTTTCGGATTTGCTGGAGGTTTGTTTGTTGTTTTTCACTGTCATGTTTCGTGGTTATTGTTGTTGATGAGCTAATGCCGTTTCATCCTCACACATGCTGGTGGTTAAAGCTCACGGACACTTGTGTGAGAAAAAAGAACAATGCAGCAGGCAAACCCCTGAAATGATAAAAATTTTCCCTTCGAATAAGTGTGTGCGCACATTGTACACAGTTTTTTCATGTCTGAGTGTCTTGGTTCCTTGGTGCGAGGTATGTTGTTCTTGCACCAGTTGCCTTTCTCCTGATGACGCCACCCTGTTGGAATTCACCTCCTTGTAGTTGGTGTGTGTGCACATGCACCAGCGCGGACACACGCCCCCGTACATAAAGGGGAGTCGGGTCCCCCCAGAGCCCAGGGACTCAGAAGACCCCTCTGTTCTGCCGTTGCTAACCAGGACCATTTGCTGCCGTGTTTTTTCTTGACCCACGTCTCCTCCTTTCTCGTTTTCTTTCTTTCTTCCTGCCCGTTTTCACCCACTCCCCTTCCTGTCTGGGTTATGGCAATTGTACATAATTTTGTTTCGGGATACGGCGGAGCGTTGCATGTGTGTGATGTGGGGGGCGCGTGGATCGGTCTTCCAGAGGTCGTGAGGGGGTTTGCCTCAGTCTGATTGATGGGGGAGGTGTCACCTCTGTTCGCTCATCCATCACATACTTTATTTGGGTTTTAGAGAAGAGGAAAAGGAAAAGGGAGGACAGGAGGGGGTCCTCGCTCCTCCAAAAATATCAGACCGGTGAGCTTGCTTTCTCTACCCCCCTGAGCCTGCGCAGGAATAGACGTCTTACCCTTGTGACCCAGCACCATTCAGCACTGGCAACAAAAGACCGATAAATGTGGCCCAGATAGATTCAAAGTAGATTAGGGAGCAGTTTCTGTGTTCTGTAACTTTCTATTCTTTCCTTAGCTGTGAGGAGTGGAAGAGGAATTCTGGGATAGTTAGTGGGCGCATTGGCTTTGTGCAAGACTGGAGGTGTCTGTTTTGATGTGCTTTCTGTTTAGACCCTGACAAACAGACTGTACTAGTTCTGTCAGCACTGCTAATTATTTAGCGTCTGATATATTTTCAGGTATTCCCAAATGTTTTTCCACACCTGATAATGGCCGGAGAAAGAAAATAAGAGTTATAAATATTTCTATAACAACAACAACAACAATAATAATAATTTATTATTATTATTATCATGGCTGGTTAGAAATATTTATTACTGTTAAATTTTCTCTTCTCCCTCATAATTTGTATGTTGTGCTGATGCTCTGTAAAATATTTATTTATTTATTACAACATTTTAAATAATAATAACTTAGGAACTATTCAACTTTATTTAGCATTTAAAAATACTACTACTACTACTACTACTTCTACTAATTATTATTATTATTATCATGGCTGTTTAGAAATACTTATTACTGTTAAATGTTCTCTTCTCCTCCATAATTTTTTTTAATGTTGTTCTGTTGTTCTATAAAAATGTATTTATTTATTTATTTCAAAATGTTAAATAATAATAACTATGGAACTATTCAAATTTATTTAGCATTAAAAAAATAACAATAATTTGTATTTATTAAATATCTTTTCCACAGCTTAAGATGTATGGAGGACCAAACCTGCAAAAACAATAAATAAATAAATAAATAAATAAATACGCAAATAAATAAATAAATGTCTGTGTATATATACACATATTCTTGTTTAAATACATATATAAATAATTAAACGTGTGATGAAAGTAGGTAAATAAATCAAATTAATTGGTGGGCAAATGGAAAATGTTAAAGATGGCTTCACAAACAAATACATGTTTAAAAATGTATATATTATTATCGCAGCGAACCATTCTCTTGAAGCTGGCCAATCGATCGGCAGAAACAACCTAATCGTTAAGTTCTTGAAGGGTGCACAGAGGCTGAACCCTTCACGCCCTACAGGGACTCCCTCCTAGCTTTGGTGTCAGTTAAGCAAGTGGGTGACTTGCAAGCGCTGTCAATCAGCGCCTCTTGTCTTGAGTTTGGATCTAACGATTGTAAAGTCGTCCTGAAACCAAGACATGGATATGTTCCTAAGGTGCTCTCGATTCCATTCAGAGCTCAGGTGATCTCCCTATTGACGCTCTCCGATAATGATGGTGAGCAAGGTCAGAACCTGCTCTGTCCAGTGAGGTCTCTGAGAGTATATCTAGAGCGCTCTATCCTGTTCAGACAGTCAGAGCAGCTTTTTGTTTGCTTTGGAGGAGAGCGAAGCTGGTTGTATTTGTACTTCTTAGCTACTAGCTTGGAGCACACTGTGCCCAGGTTTTTAGGTGTCCTCATTAGTGCTCCGAGACTGGGCTCGCAGAGCAGGATATTCTGTATCTGCTCATAGTGCGGCATGATTGGATGTGTTCCCCATAGCGTTATACGCCACGGGAGAGACCATTTGAAAGGGTACGCTCCGGTTACTGATGTAACCTTGGTTCCCTGAGATAAGGGAACCAGCGTTGTGTCATTCGCCACGCTATAAGCTGCACGCGAATCGATGACTGTCGCTTCAGTCGAGTGATCTGATGAATGGCTCTCTGAGCTGACTTATATAGGGGTCGACTCCGCCCTTTCTGGCGGGCTAAAGCGCCATTGGTTTGTGCAGATACACAAACGTGAACAAATCAGGCTTCAGTAGAGTAAAACAGGAGTTTTCCCCATAGCATTATACGCAACGCTCGTTCCCTTATCTCAGGGAACCGAGGTTACATCAGTAACCGGAGTGTTTACCTATACAATAAAGGTTACAGCAGTGGTAGCAAATATCAATAGATTTGAAAAATATGTTTTACCCTTGGTATACATTGAGATGATTTTCAGCTTCCATGTTCTCATGACAACACTCAGTTTCCTGCAGAGACTCCAATGTGACCTGGAAGTCTGCAAGCTCTCACTCCATTTTAGTTTGTAACACCTATTTTTCATTATCCAGTGTCCCCCCTGACAGAAGTAGAATGTATTGCTAATGTTCAATGTCTTTAAGAATAATTGTTCATTGTTTGAATTGCTTACATGATCAGCAAAAACAGTCTTCTATGAAAAAATACAAATTGTATGCAGGTCGCAGGTTTTTGCGATTATAATTGTGTCTTGTTTTGATTCAAAAGCCACTTTAAAGATTTCACTTGCATGTTTTCAACTTGTTTTTACAATTTTTACCTCTCAGTGTCTTGGGACCAGTTAGCAGCATCTCTAGCAAGTCTGTATTATTCATGGTTGACCTCGTTAAAACAGAGGAAATAGATTTGAGTTTGAAATGCATCATTTACCCTCTGTCAAATGCTAGGAATGCACCCTTTGAACTGTCCGGGGCATCGTCTTGACTCTCACTGTCCTTTTCTCATTTTTATTCATTTTCCTCTCTAGTCTCTCTTTGTCAGAGAGGCTGGTGTTGTCAGGCAGCCAAGACGCTCTGATATCCATTTTGCATGCTTGTTAGAAAAAAACACAGTTATGAATATTCAGGGCATTCAGCAATTTCAAGGAGGGGGAAAAAGATGGAAGGTAGCAAAAAGAAAGCGGGCAGATAGCTTTGTTCTTATTTTAAGTGCATCAGTCATGGAGGGGAGTAGCTCAGAGGCAAACAGCTTACTGTAAAAGTCTGCGGCGCAGGGAGAATGGCAGCTTCAGATTAGGCATGGTCTCTGTTTGAGGGTCCCATACTGGACTGGAGGATGTCTGGTGCCGCTGAACCCCATGACTTCAGACAGGCGGTTCTCTGGGGAGAGACAGTATTACAAGAAGCTCGCCTGGTACGACAACATTTATCATCACTTACTAAGTAAAGTGTTAGTTGGTCAAAACAGAACTGAACTTGTAGGAAAAGTGCATTAGCACATAATTCCATGAAGACAGAAACCAGAAAAAGTTCTTCAATTTCAGACAAAATATTACATCTGAAGACTTCATACCCATTCAAACAGAGATTCTGGACTTTTTTTGTAGACAAATGTAACTAAAAATTAACAAATTGCTAACTGCTAGTGATCACCATGTATTTTATGTGTATGGAAAATAGCAGCTTTAATATTTTGATGTTCCACTGGAAAAAAGTTTTAAGTGACACGAGGGTGGGTCAATGATGACACAATTTTCCAGTAATTTTAGTAATACCACATTGTATTGAATGAGTGGTTTCTGCCACAGTTGTTTTACGCAAACACTTTTTTACTTGCTACAATCTAACAACTTAATCAAAGAGACAAATAATATTTTCAATCATCTGAAGGGCCACTCTTCTGACTATCCAAAAAAGTTGATCATATTGATGTGACTGTTTTGCAAATGCCACAACCTTATGGAACATTTTCCATGATATTCTTTAGGAAAGAGCACTTATTGGAAAAGCTTGCTGGACTTTGGCCTATACGACAAGTCAAAGAGCTCAGCATATTTTTGGATGGCTTCTGAAGGAGCACTTGTTGCCTCCTCATCCTACGCAGTGCACTGGACCCTGATCCTTCATTATTCTCATGCTCTTTTCCAGCTGTTTCTGAGTAACACCCCCCCCCCCCCCCCCCCCCCCCCCCTCCCCCCCCTC